CACTATCGAGGTCATTGAGCATAGTGCTTAGGTCCTCCAGCGATTCTGCCATAAGGACTATATCGTCGGCAAATCGAAGGTGAGTGATGTACTCGCCATTGATGTTGATACCGTATCCTTTCCAGTCCAGAAGCTTGAAAACGTCTTCCAATGCAGCGGTGAAGAGTTTCGGGGATATGACGTCACCCTGTCTTACACCTCTCTGCAATTGGATAGGTTTCGTACTCTGGTTCTGTACTCGGATAGCCATCGTAGCCCTACTGTACAAGTACTTCAACACTTCGATATACCGACAGTCAACTTGGCACCGCTGAAGGGACTGCAGCACCGCCCAAATTTCGACGGAATCAAAGGCTTTCTCATAGTCCACATACGCCAGACATAGTGGCAAATTGTACTCTTCGGACTTCTGTACAATTTGCCGAAGGGTATGTATGTGGTCTATGGTGCTAAAGCCCTTTCGGAAACCGGCTTGTTCGGGAGGCTGGAAGTCGTCAAGTCTGCGCGCGAGACGATTCGTAATGACTCTCGGAAACAGCACATAGACGCGGCTCAGAAGGGAAATCGGTCTGTAGTTCTTCAAGAGAGCGTTGTCACCTTTCTTGAAGAACAAGACCACCGCACTTCTGCTCCACGCCTCCGGTGTAATGCCACCATGGAGGACGGAATTAAAGAGCTTCTGAAGGACTTCAAGTACCGGTCTTCCACCCGCTTTCAGAAGCTCCGCTGTAATTCCATCCTCGCCTGGGGCCTTACCGTTTTTAAGGTGCTGGAGAGCCATTCTAATCTCGCTCAGACTGACGTCCGGGATATCTTCGGAATAGTGTCGGATGAGACTCGCTCTTGGATCGTTACTCACACTTGCGTGTGGCTCCAACGATGACGTGTACAGCTGCCCATAGAACCTCTCAATCTCACTCAAAATCTCAGGTGTCCCGGAAACGATGCTGCCACATTCTGTCTTCAGCCTTGACAGGTGGCTCTTTCTGGCAGACAGATCTCTGGCATAGACTTTGGAGCCTTGGTTCCGCTCGATCGCTTCTTCAATACGAGCTGTATTGAAGTTGCGTAAGTCCCGCCGCATGCATTTGGAGATCTGTCTGTTCAGATGCCTGTATGCTGTCAAGTCTGTTGAAGAATGTAGCTTCATCTCCCGTCTAACAGCCATGAGATTAAGAGTGTGATCGGAGAGTTTTTGTGTTCTTCTGCGGCGGGTCTTGCAGAACTTAGCTCCGACCGCATGGACAGTTTCCACGAGCTTGTCATTCATATCGTCCACTTTATTGCAGTCTTCTAGGCACTGAAAACGGTTTTGTAACTCGAGCTGAAAGGTTTCGGGACTTTGGAACAGAGCACGAGGGGGACGGAGCGTTGACTTCATTAGACGAGACCTCTCCAACTTAACGTTTAGGTTCAGTGTGCCTCTAACCATTCGGTGATCGCTACCAGTTTTCACCCTCGCGATCACGAAGACATCACTGAACAGTTGTCGTCTGGTCGTCATAATGAAGTCAATCTCATTTTTTGTGGAACCGTCGGGGCTCGACCAGGTCCACTTCCTGTGGGGCCGCTTCTGGAAGAAAGAGTTCATCATAAAGAGTCCCTCTTTCTCCATGAAGTCGGCCAGCTGCTGGACCCTTGGGTTCCGTTGCCCTATTCCAAATTTCCCTACTTTCAGCTCACCGTTCTCTCTTGTGCCTAGTTTTGCATTGAAGTCCCCCATTAACACCGTATATTGGGTTTTGGAGGAATGCATGGCTCTAGAGATATCCTCATACATTTCCTCCACCTCCCCATCGGGGTGTGCCGAGGTTGGTGCGTAAACCTGTATGACCTTCAGCGAATACCGTTTGGTGATTCTGAGTATAAGGTACGCAACCCTCGTCGATACACTCCCGATCTTTACAACGTTGTTAACGAGAGACTTGTGGACGATAAATCCGACACCTCCTTGGGACAGATGGTCGCCCTCCCGGTGATAGAGCAAGTTGCCGGATTCGAGGATTACCGTGTCCTCCCCCTCTCTTCGGACTTCGGATAATCCTATAATATGCCAGCGCAACTTGTCTATCTCTTCTTCCAGCTCCACGATCTTCTCGTCAGTCCTCAGGGTGCGTGCGTTGTACGTTGCCAGGTCGAGTCGTCTAAGGTGGCAACCGAACCTCCACCGGAGATTCTTAGCATCCCCTGCCCCGCCGTTACCATGGTCGCCACCGTAGCCAGGAATAGCGGGGCCGCCGGGGACTGGGGGCCGTGTCTTTGTTACATTCATAGGGGGGTATTTGCCATAGTTGCCACGCTTGGCGAGCGGGTTGGCACCCGCAGTTTTTTTTATTGTAATTTTGGCTATTATCAGGAAGATGCTGCTCTCCTGCCTGTTTCCCTTTGTCGCCTTTTACGACACCTACGGGAGGATATGGGGTAGTGGTATTCTTGACCGCCACTACACGGCAAATGCAATGCAATTACTACGCGGCTCAAATACAAATTAATTAACAAATAACAAATACAATTTCTATCAAATCAGGTTAAATACAAATTACTATTTATTAAATTAAATACAAATTACACTACAAATAAAAGTCCACACTACAGTCGATCAGGCAAGATGCCTCGCTCAGACAACCGACCCCTCGACAATCAATCTACTATAATTATACGATAACGAAAATTATCCGATTACGTGATAACAATTATCTACCTACTCAAAATACCTGATAAGTATGCCCTAACAAACTCCGCGGGCGTGGTTTCAATTCTACCCACTAACCAAACAAAAAAATATTTAATTTTTATTACGTACTATTTTTATCTATATTACGGCCGGGGGATTGGAGAACCAATCAACCATGCTCTTACTACCAAACTTTTTTACGGCCCTCAGTTGCCCCGACAAAAGTCGACTGGACCAGGGCCCATCAGTGATCCACTCGACGGGCAACCAGAGGGTTCGGGCCCAAATGACCTTATGGAGAGTTGACCTACACGACAGTGATAAAGATAGACAAACCAATAGCACGTACCTGTTCAGAGGCGAAGAAGGATCCCAAGGCTCGTTCAGGTGCGCTCAAGGCTCGTTAATTGTCGTGAATGTAAGTAGTGTGTGAGAAGTGTGTATGTGTAACCTGAATTAGCCCCTTTTTTTAATCAGCAGCGATCCTGACTCCAGCACCGCCACCCTATGTGGTGTCACTCCAGCGGCGTCACTCGGTGTCACTCAAAGTCTAGTGTCCATTAGCACAAATCTATAATCTAATCCGAACGCTTCTTGCGGGTCACAAGGTTTAGCGGTTTGAACCGACACAGGAGAACCTCTCCGAGTTAAATCAAAATGGCATCAAGCAACTCGTTGACGCAAATTAATATTGTCAAGCACTTCAACCGGCAATCACTATATAGTTTACGTAAATTACTTGCCAACGAATTTAAGTTAATCAATCAAAATATTACCGCTTCGTTATCGCGCGAACGCACTAAAGATAACCAAAACTGGAAGCGAAAACTCCACAAAAGTAAAATTCTACACGTCCTTTCGACCGGTAGTTGTTTACACACAATCTCTCGACGCGTCTCAAACCGCCCGACCACGAGAGGAATGCGAGCGGGGAGGGGCGGGCCGTGACCTTCGTACCGTGCGATAGACGCGCCGCGTCGCGAATTATAAATTCAATTTACAAAGGGTTAATTTGGGCCTAAACAATAATAATAAGAGATTTTTTTATTACAATATTTTAAAAGCACAGAATAAATAATAGTAGTACGTACTAAACGTAAGTAGTGTCAATTTTTTTGTCATGGGTGTCATTTTCATGGTTTTCGAGGGTGTTGAAGCCGATAGTGTTGTCGAAATGTAAATCCAAGGTGGCGGCTGCAATAGGTATAAATTTTTCATCATGGGTGTCATTTTTTTGGTTTTCGAGGGTGTTGAAGCCGATAGTGCTGTCGAAATGTAAATCCAAGATGGCGGCTGCAATAGGTACCAATTTATTCATCATGTGTGTCATTTTCATGGTTTTCGAGGGCGTTGAAGCCGATAGTGCTGTCGAAATGTAAATCCAAGATGGCGTCTGCAACAGTTATCAATTTTTTCATCTTGGGTGTAATTTTCATGGTTTTCGAGGGTGTTGAAGCCGATAGTGCTGTCGAAATGTAAATCCAAGATGGCGGCTGCAATAGGTACCAATTTATTCATCATGGGTGTCATTCTCATGGTTTTCGCGGGTGTTGAAGCCGATAGTGCTTTCGAAATGTAAATCCAAGATGACGCCTGCAATAGGTATCAATTTTTTAATCTTGGGTGTCATTTTCATGGTTTTCGCGGGTGTTGAAGCCGATAGTGCTTTCGAAATGTAAATCCAAGATGACGCCTGCAATAGGTATCAATTTTGTAATCTTGGGTGTCATTTTCATGGTTTTCGAGGGTGTTGAAGCCGATAGTGCTGTCGAAATGTAAATCCAAGATGGCGGCTGAATTAGGTACCAAAAATTATCATCATGTGTGTCATTTTCATGGTTTTCGAGGGCGTTGAAGCCGATAGGGTTGTCGAAATGTAAATCCAAGATGGCGGCTGCAATAGATATCAACTTTTTCATCATGGGTATCATTTTCATGGTTTTCGAGACAGTTGAAGCCGATAGGGTTGTCGAAATGTAAATCCAAGATGGCGGCTATAATAGATATCAATTTTTTCATAATGGGTGTCATTCTCATGGTTTTCGCGGGTGTTGAAGCCGATAGTGCTGTCGAAATGTAAATCCTAGGTGGCGGCTGCAATAGGTGTCAATTTTTTCATCATTGGTGTCATTTCCATGAAATGAAATGTATTTAATTTACTTTAAAATATTCCATATAATCATGTTATACGTAATATTTTTAATGCGCTTAAGGCATGCCCCATTGGATTTACCAATTTTTTATTTCTTTTTTATCATACTTTAAGTCAATTTTATTTGAGGGATCTTTAAGAGGCGGAATTAGTTTTAACTCAAAAACTTACAAAATGCAGGTAGAAACTTTGCCAGAGGAAGTTGTGAAGAGGAAATCGGTTGAACTCCTCCAGAAATTCCTTGGAGCCAACGTGACCTTACCCGAGCCGACAGGAATGCTTAGGTGAGTTAATTTTCGTGTTTCCTAGATGGCAGGGCTCCAATTCTTGGCTTGGCTTGCAGGTGGTCTCAAGTCATCACGATAGCACTGCAAGGGTATTGGTGGTAGCCAGTGCTGCCTTCGGGATGCCCTAAACAATCAGGAGAAGCTCCAGTTGCGTTCTGAACGGAGATCCCGTGACATCCCGACTATGTTGAGAGTGATCACCGTTGTGTTTTAGATTACGGATTTAAAGCTGAGGGTACCCGTAGGGAAATCTCAAGGATAATTTCTATCTACCCGCATCCATGTTCAGGGGTTAACTGAGGTGTTCAATTATCCTTCCTTAAGCCAGAGCAGGCATATACTGCTCAGCTACAAGTACATTGGCTGTATATTTAGCGTGTTGTCACGTGATACCCGGAATTCACGTAAATCCAAGCCTAGCTTATGCTGTTTTTTTGTGAATCACCAACATCAGCCAGCGCCAGTAAATATTTTGTGCTTCAGCTTTAAATTATTAAAGTATTAGTCAATTTACATCAAATAAACTAGCTCCTAGGTACCTTGCAAGTAGTTTTGCCAACTGTCCTGGATTTTCCGTCAGCAAGGGACGCCCTAAACAAAAGTTTGTCGATGAAATCGGTGGTATATAAGATGGGGCAAAGTTAAGAGTACCTTATCCGGCGAGATGAATGTGACAGAAACGAGAGATGTGTCAGGATCGTGGCAAATGGAAGTTTATTGTTTATGCCTACTCTTCTAGGTGACAGGCATCATTGTTTATAACATATTATATGGTATGGGTATTAAAGGATGGATGTTGAATCTTTGCATCAAACTGCAAATATCTAATAGCTTTATAATGATTTCTTATATTTTCACGAAGACTACACATTCAATGAAAATAATTTTTACGGATTTTATCACGCTTAATTTAGCTTTTTAATTCCCGACGTTTCGGGGGCTTTACAGCACCCATGGTCACGGAGGGGACTAAGGTGTTTGACGTCCAAATATCATAGTTAGCCCGGCTACCTTCAGTTTTTGAATATTAATTTTTGGTCCGATCTACGCAGAATGAGCTTACAGTATCTTGAAGTCTTGCAGTGGTATGCTTGGGTTTGGATTTAATTTTATTAATTATAGGATCCCAAGCAGATGGCAGCACCCATCCATCTTCTCTATTGAAATTATAATGTTTATTAATTTCAATAGCCTAGCGAATCATCTTTGGTAGGAATCGCTGTTCTTTTGCGAGGATTTCTGGTCTATCAAGTCTAATGTAATGGTTAAATTTTATCTATGCCTACTTGAAGAAAATCATTCTTTTTTATAAAACTATACAAACAAACAAACTTATGAAGCTGATCGTAATTGACTACTGCAGTCCACGAACATCTAGAGCCACCCTCAAACAAAGAAGTCACCAGATGCACTGTCATCTCTGAGGACTAAGATGGTACACCTCACAGCATGTAACTTATATTGGCTATTTATACCGTATCACTACACGCACTGCAGCTTGGCGTCAGAAGTAGGTAAGAGAGTGGTGACTAACTACTTCGTTCGTTCTCAGCTTGTCCGCGCCATAGCCACGCTGCAGCTATATTATGGTTGTAGCACGAATCGGTCGGTTAACCGCGAAAGACCACGCTCTCACAGAATACCAGCGTTAAATAGCAGTTTAGTTTAGTTCAATGCTGCAGTGTTTCGTATGGTGGGTGTAGAGAAATGGAGACCTTTTTTAACTGGAAACGAGGCAACCCATCTTAGTCCTCACGGGTGACAACGAATCTGCATTTTTATTCTTAATTGAGAATAAATGTAGATGTATATATAGGCCACAGAATACACTTGATATCAGGTGGACTGTGTATTCGTTTGTCACCCTTATTCTATAAAAAAGTCTTATAACGGGTGTCTCGCGGTGACATACTCGTATGCTCAAGTCACGGATATCACATTACAAAATGACGGCATTCAGACCCAGACGCCGTTTTCAAATTCATACTATGACCATGCTTTAATTCTAATACCTTTTTCACAGGTCAACCTGGTTCTCAAATCCATACATCAGAGGTAGCTATTCTTACGACAGTGTGAGTTCAATGAAGTACCCCAACTCCAGGGCGGATTTGGGCAAACCCCTTCTAGACAGTGCTGGCACACCAAAAGTTCTTTTCGCGGGAGAGGCGACCGACTTGACCCAGTTTTCGACTGTACACGGCGCCAGTGAGAGTGGCTACAGAGAAGCAATGAGGATTCTATCTTCTTAAATATTAATTTATTTATTACACTATTAAAAAAGGCACAATTCCGCACATTTTAAAGGAATTTTTAACCTATGTATATGGCAATACTATATCGACAATGCAATAAATCCAATCGATTAAGTATCTAAAATTGAATTAAATCAGATATTTTCATCAACAATATTCGTATTTAATTGATTCGTCTAGAGAAATAAATAGTCTAATGTAAAATAACGATCACTGCCAGTTAATCAAGAGACTTAAAGGCATTTAAAATTACGGCGAATAAAATAATATAACTAATAATAAATGCGTTAAAAGATGTTTTCCAACTAATTTTTGACCTACTTGACCAGGGAAGGAATACTAGTATCTTTTTTTTAATAATAAACGTGTCTCCATGAGATAAGTAAATCATTAAAAATGGACGATAGGATCAAGAGTGTTGCCAACATATTCTTAAAAAATAAAATTAAAAACAAATTACACAACAAGAGAGAGTATTTCGTATGGTGAGTTTACTGGTTGCGAGACATTTAATCTCAGACCCCAGGGGTGACAACGCATTTTGTAATTTGATTCTTAATTGAGTATTGAATATAACCTGGGGCTAGCCCATGACCCCTATTCTATAAAAAAAAAAAATTGTATACTTTGCATAAAGTTAGCAACACTACACAATAGTAAGCACATGTACCAATTAGGTATAAGGATAATAATTATGCATTAATCAGTAAATATTTAATTATAACAATTACGAAAATCTTGACTGTAATTTAAACAATCTACATTCAATATCAACCAATGTTTTGTATGTATACTGCTAGAGTGGCAATTTAGAACAAAAACTGTGTCACAGATATGAACTGCGCGGGCGAGTACCTGGCACGGTAAATATACCACGCAGTTCTATTTTAATTTACGACAGTTACTGTTTTTAGGCAAATATGAACGAAGTAAAGTTACATACTTATCTGAAATAAACTTTATATCACGTTGACGAAGTGTGAACATAAATAATGACAGCGTTTTCTTAGTAACATTAAACAAAACCATGTTAGATTGTCGAAAAAAACGTTCATGGTTTACAAAACAAAGAACTAGCCTTCTCACCCGCTCGCAGTCGACTAAAGAGGTTACGGAGAATTGACCGTAATTTAGTGCGCAATGTATTAAGACTTAAGAGTCTGTCTAGTGCTATACAGTCTTTGACATCAACAGTCTGTCTATTATGATGTTGTGACACTATGGGATATAATAAAAAAACATGCGTGTGTGTCGTGGAACACTCGGTTGGAACGAAGTTCCTTTCGTAGTATATTAATATTGATAAACGTAATATATTATTGATTAACAAATACAGATAAATGAATTACTAGCGTCTATTAAATTGAAGCGTCATTCAAAATAATATTTCTTTCATGGCAAGATAAGAAAAAGTGCGAGGGAGATGGATATTATTCCTTCTCGCTCGCACTATAGAAAGGGTCGTGAGTCGTGACGGAAAAATCGAATCGGAACGTCGTTCCAAAAACTATGCATTTAAGAGTAGTAGTAAGGTATTTGCTATAAATAGTATAGAGTTTATTATATTAGGTACATAATTAAAGCAAGTTCGGTAATTAATCAAAACCAACTAAAAAATAACTCATGCTTTAATAAATAGAGTACCTCCTTACGATAAGATATTATTGTAAGTAGGTACTCTGTTTATCTATCATGTTACTTAATTAAAAGTTTATTTAAGTACTTTTATATTTATTTGATGTCTTTCTTTGGTTGTATATAAAATAAATAGAAACTTGTTTATTATATAAAATATTTTATTACCTAAAATTAATTTTATTTCTGCAGTGCCTCCCCATTTCCTGAGTGCTAAACGAAGGTCGTTTAAGGTGTTATAAAACCTTTAGTGTTTCTAGCATAAAATAATTTTAGATAGAGGTCTATCAAACCTAATATAACGCATTTATATTAGGTTTAGGTATTAGTCTCATCAACTGCAGTCTTCCGGAGAGAAGTCGTTTCGTACTTAGGGTGATTCGTGAGGCTATCTGTGCACGACGCAACAATATTAAACAAACGAAAGAAAATGCTTATTGTAACCGGCGCTAGTTGAACTACCTAGGAGCGGTGGGCGGAGCCATGACGACGGTGTAATTATCAGGCCACGCCTCTGGTTCGACAACTAGCAAGGGTTATACGGCGGAACTAGCGCAACCTTATGTTGAATTTAAATTATAATTTGTGTAAATAATTGTATTACTTGTATCGAACGATAAAAAATAATGATTGTATTATAACTAAGTTTAAGGTTGAGTTGTAACTGTGCAATAACTCTCCCAAATAAAGGCACCGTATGAACAGGGAGAGTTAGCATAGTCTTCTAATGAAAACTGTAATTGTTAAATATAATAAATGTTTACTTTATTATATAATAAATATATTAGGCCGTTAGGCACATAAAATAATAGTAGTAGTGTAACCAAAGAGCATGTTATCGTGACGCGGCCGCGGAGCAAATGAAGCCACGTGCACCGCGCCACGACGTTTTATATTTATAGTGCTGAGGCGGGGGGAAGGATTCTCCGCCTAAAGCAGCTGAAAATTATAATGTAAACCTGTAAATAAGTAAAAATATTGATATGTACACCCTAGTCTAACAAGTAGTTATAAGAATATTATATAGTGAATTATGTTTATTAGTTTGTAAGGTTATTAAATAAATAAAGATAGGCGCGGGGGTGAGGCAAGGGTCCGCTGGCCAGCAGCGGCCAAATCATATAAAAGACGGGCCGGCCGCTAGGGTCAGCAGTCGCTCTCCAGCCACCGAAAAGGCACCAGCAAGAAAAGAAAAAGTACAAGTTCCTCCTCACCGCCGCTTGCCTCCAGTTAAAAGCAAGACCAGCGCGTTTTATTCCATTTTTCGCACGGCATTACGGCGATCCGTAATATTAATGGTCCTTCGAGAAGCCGGATTACTAGAAGAAAAAGACAATATCGGTCTTGGTATTGCCGGAAGAAAGAAGCAAACCGCAAGAACGAAAAAATATTATTGTGAAGAAAAATGGTGATTACGCGTAGTAACAACGGAGAATCATCGAAGCGTCGCAAGGATGAACAAACAACCCAGGGGGCCACAGAAGAGGCCTCCGGGGGCGACTCAGCCGCTAGTGGTTCAACAAACACCACTAGCGAAACCACAACGGTCAGCGATACGACCGCTACCTCGGCAACCGATAGAACAACCGCAACGGAAGAAACCCAGCAAGAGGGTGATCAAAGATCGCAGTGCACATTGAAGCCCGGCGAGACTAGGTCACGCCGCTCCGTAGCCTCACGCAAGAGACTCCTCGCGGAGTTAGAGGCGAAAGAGCGGTTAGCCGAACTCAAGCTCGAGCAGACTCAGTTGCAAGCAAGAACAGAATTGCAAGAAATACACGTGCAGCGACTACAAGCAGAAGCCGGATCAACCGATGAAGATGAAGAAATAGAAGACGATTTGGCATCAGTGCGCATTAGTACATGGTTGCAAGAAAAACCTACATCGCAACCCGCGCCTCAGCCCGCGCCACAACCCGCGCCACAACCCGCGCCGCAGCCCGCGCCGCAACCCACGTCGTACTTCGCGCCGCAACCAGCACTGCAGATCGCACCACCCGTACTTCAACAGTGTGCGCCGCAATACGCTCCGCAACATACCGCGCCGCAGAAAGAAGACTATGGACAGGCGCAGCAGCAAATCGACGTCGCTACCTTAGCCGCTGCTCTATCACAAGCAGTACGAAGCACAAGGGAGCCGCCGAAATATATACAAGAGCTGCCCTCATTCAATGGTAGCAGCAAGGAGTGGCTCAGCTTCAAGACAATGTACGAAGAATCTTCAAAGTACTTCACGGCGAACGAAAACATAGCGAGAATACGCCGAAGCTTAAAAGGGACAGCAAAAGAAGCCGCAGGTTGCCTACTTATAAGCCAACCAGATCCCAGAATTATAATAGAAGCTTTGGAAAGGAGATTCGGACGACCAGAAACGTTAATTCACTTGGAAATAGAGAAGCTGAAGCTGCTGAACAAAGTTACGGACAATCCCAGGGAGCTATGCATATTCGCAAATCGCATAGCGAACGTAGTGGGCACCGTGGAAGCACTCAAGAAAGCACACTATCTGCATAGTCCAGAAATGACGCGAGTTATCACAGACAAACTCACGCCCATATTGAAAAGCAAATGGTACGACTATGCAGCCAGAAAGAAAGAAGATATCCCAGAGCTTAAGAAGATATCAATGTTCTTAAACGAAGAAGCGGATAAATGCAGCGCGTATGCCTTGCCGGAGTTCATCGCAGAGGACAGCGAAACGAGAGAGCGAAGACCGAGAAAAATAGAACGTGCCTTCGCCACAAGCAAGAAACCATATGAAGAACGCTGCCCTCAATGCAAACAAGAACACAAACTGCCCGATTGCAAGTCATACGCCGCTCTGTCCACAAATGACAGATGGGAAGTAGCAAAGAAGTACAATATCTGCTACCGCTGTCTGCGAGGCAAACATCGTCGATTACTGTGCAAAGCTCCACCGTGCGGAAAAGGCGGATGCATGATGAAACACCATAAATTGTTGCATCACGACAGAACAGCAGTAATGGAAAAAGAACCCGCTATGGAAACCGCAACATCGGCAAAGGAGGTCAACACAGCGACTCGACCGTACAAGCACCGCCGCGCTTACCTAAAGATTGCGCCCGTAACAATAAGGGGGCCGCTAAGCTGCGTCGAAACATACGCATTATTGGATGAAGGGAGCACGGTCACCTTAGTCGATGCCTCAATCGCCGACGTCATCGGCGCCGACGGCCCAGCCCACACAATGTGGATACAAGGGGTCGGCTCGGAGGTGAAACACGAGAAGAGCAAGATCGTCAGCTTTAAAATAAGAGGAACGTACGCGCAAGAAGAACACAACATAGAAGCAGCGCGTACTGTAGAGCGGTTGGACTTCGCGCCAGAATCCGTGAATGAAG